GGGCTGCGGGCGGCCCACGGGGGACTCCAAGGTGTTTGTGTGGGAGCCGCCCCCAAGGTGGCCTCGGTTTCGGAGATGGAGCCTGAGCTGCCGCTTGAGAAAGGAGTCCCTGAGGGGGCGTGTGGAGCCGCCCCCTTGCAGCACCAGCACCCCTGTGGCAGGAGCCACCCCAAGACTCCCCGCGCCTCGGGGTCCCAGTGGAACCACAGTCAAAGGGGAGTCCGACTTGCATCTGTGGAAGACCCCAGTGGCACCCAGGAAAGCCTCGGGGAGCCTGCGCAGTGGGGATGAGCCCCCAGGAAAGACCCCTTTCCTAAAAGAGGACCTTGCACTGCGCCCTAGAACTGCCCGAAAGGACCATCAGATTAGGGAGAGGGATCCTGCAGGGGTGCCTGTGCTAGGAACGATTTCCCATATGCACGACGACTTTGGCCTTCTTCACCCCCTGTAGGGCTCAGCGTGGTCTCACTTGTGAGCCCCCACCCCCATGGTGGAGAGTGGGCGGCCCCTGTGTGGCTACCACCTTTATCTGTTGCCTCCTGTTAAGATGTCTTTGCACCTTGGTTGCCCCCAAGCCGGCTTGGTGCGTGCAAGAAATGCTATAAGAGCGCAGGGTCCAAGAGAGGGGCCCGAATCAGGGAGACCTCTGAAGCCGGGCAGCAGATGGGAGGCCCTAGGCGCGTTTGGCCGGAAGGAAGCCGTGGAATCAGGTGCTACTACTGAGGCTGGCAGGTCTTGGAAGAGAAAGACCTTGGAAGGAAGGGAGAAAGGATGGGTAGGATTGGGGAGCACCAGCGTGCCAGCCAGGTATACGATTAACCATCTCATATAACCCTTCCAGCACCCTTGGGAGAGTGCCTCTTTGGAGCATTAGGAACCCGAGCCTGGGAGCCTAAATGATTCGCCCAAGGTCACAAAGCATAGAATGGTGACTCTTTTAGGGGGGGATTTTATTTGGGAAGGATTATTAAGGGGAGACAGTAGCAACATAGGTTGCACGAAGGTGCCAAGCAGAGGGCTTGAGGAATGCTAGATGCTCAGTAGATGTGATGATTAAACAAGTGGCTAAGGACAAGGGATTGAGATTGCTGCAGGAACTGACTTCCACTGAATCTCCAGATTTCAGGGTGTGGCTTCCATGCTTGGCAGCCTTGCTGTCATACTGCCTTGGGGTGGATCTTGACCTAATTGGGCCTGGAAGAGGGCTCTGGGTGTGGGCTTTACCCACGATTTGCTCTGGGGAACCAGGGGGAAGCTTCAGGAAATGCAGCGTCCTGAGGCACACTGCTGCAGTCCTTGAAGGGGGGAGGGGAGGGGTGGGGAGGATCACACTCTGCTTGTGGCCCTTTCACTGTGCACCAGCAAGCATTGGTCCTGACGCTACTCAGAAGGCTCTTTGGCCTCCAGTGCTTCTGCATGAAGAGGGCAGTAAACACACAGAGCCAAGGAATGCTGATTGGGAGGTGTTTGTCCAGGTGGTGGTGGGGGCAGGTACAAAGGTTCTGCATCTGTGCTTGCTGCACCACCACCCCCAACCCCCAACCCCTGGATCTGGTAGCAGTTTCATTCTAGCCGAATCCCAAGGATGTAACTCTGAGCTCAAGGATGGACTCGTGTCTCTTATTGTCCAGAATGGAGTGGTGAGGGGTTACGCCGTGGAATTCACCAGAGAGCAGTTCAGGAAGGTTTTCTCCCCTTCTTCCACACCATCAAATCGAGTGACAGCCTTCTTTAATAGAAGTGGCTTCCTTGGGCTCCTGGGGTCTCTCAGTGAAAAGAGGAACCAAGCAAGTGAGAAAACCTGAGCAAACTGTCTTACCAACTCTTAGGGGTTGGGTTTTTGTTGTTGTTCTTAACTCGGTGATGGCTGCCTGAAGCATGGGTGTGGCACTTCACGCACAGCTTAAAGGGGCACATTCTGAAAATCGCTCATAGTGAGTACTCCTCCCCTCGCAAAGTTGTGTAGAATGCTGTCAGTCTGAAACCCTCTAGTTAGAAACAAAAGTAATCGGGTATTTTTGAGAAAACCGGGAGCAGCAAACCTTGAAATCATATCATCTTAGCTCCAATTCCAATATTGTGGGTTGTAGGTTTATTCATTAATTGATATTTAACAGAGTGCTCTTGGCTTCATATCTACTTATGATCCTGGAAAAGCCGCTTGGTAGAGCAGATGCTCCCCAAATCTTGGACCTTGGGTCTAACCTCCTTAATCTCCAGCACTGGGTTAACATTAACATTGTAAAAATCTGAAGAATCATGCCTAACTCCCGTTATTACAAAAAAACGAGTCTGTGACTCAAATACTCCAGAGTGGGCCTAAGAGCGTTACCAGGTCTTGGGGGCCGGGGAGAGGGTGGGCTGGGGAGGGGAGGAGGATTTCCAAAGGGAAATGAAACCGTAGGGAATGGGTCCCCTTAGGTTCATTTGAGCATACCCAAAATGTGTCTGGATTTTACTGCCTAGATTTCTCAGTCTCTAATCTTCCACATATTCTCCAGCCACATTCTTGGGATTTTCTTCCTCCCACATTTGCCAGCTTGGGTTTTGTTTGTTTTTTCCTTGTTCTTCTCCTTCTCCTTCTCCTCCTTCTCTTCCTTCTCCTTCTTCAGATGGTGCGGCTTTTTCCTCAAGCACGGAGAGGAGGACCTTCCCGGGCCCATTTCTTGCACCCCTCACATTTTGTTTCCAGTACACCTGTTCCTAAGGGGATCTTATTCATGTAAATAGTTCCCTTTCCCCTTAGCTACAGACTCTATTATCTTCAGCCCCACATGCTTCTCCACAGCGGGACTATTTGGTTTCTGCTGTCTTCATTTCCCAAATTGATTTATTCGTTTCTGATGGGAAATCATTACCCATTCCACTCCTCAATCTTAATGGCCACCTTCTGACAGGAATTGCTTATCAACTTTGGACCAAGAAACCAAGACCATCAAGGTCCAGCTGGAGACACGACTCTTTCCCCATTATAAGTTCCCACTCCATCCCCACCCCTCCTTTCCAGCAAACCCCTCAGAGACCCACATGCATTTACTAAGTGCCACCTACTCGCCAAGCACTATGATAAATAAATATGAGTTTGTCCTTGAGGAGTTGAGGTAGAATCAGCCTGCATTTCCCTAAACATAGTAAGAAACCAGAGGGAGAAATTACAGCTTTACAGAGAGCACCTGCAGGAATTAATGTAGAATCTTCCTTTTCCACAGTGTCACCAAACTCAACTGCCGTTGTCTGCCTCCTCTGACAGGCAGCCCCTGCCATTAACCTGCCAGACTTATTTTTTACCCATATGCTTTGAATGAACTGGCCACACTCCTGGCTTCCTGTAATAAGCGGTCCTTTAAACCATAGTTGTACGCAAATAACGCGTGGGCTCTTACTTCTGCAAGCTACTGAACTCCCTCGCCCGTCAGCTTGCTGTGTGTGAGCTGAAAATCCAGTCTCGTTTGCAAAGTCTTTTTACTTCAACGCGTTTCTATTTGGTTTGGAGAAATGTTCCATCTTACTGCAATCTCCTCACTAAAACTCTTTCTCTTACTCTCACACTATCTTCTTGAGTCTCCTAACCAGGCTTCAGTGTCCCCAGAGGGGAAGCCCCAGTGATTTGCCACATTCACTCCTCCCAGCTCTTGGGCTGTGGAGCAGATTCCTGTTAGGTCCTGCGGCTAAGTGGCCAAGCGGCGAATTCAGTGGTCGGCCCTGGGACTTGTCAGGTCTCTCTTTGCCCTGGCCTCAGGAAATCCAACGCTCTAGGTAGTGATTTTCTCCAGGGTTTTTCCCTGGGCCCCTCCCTGAAATCCAAATACACATTTGCTCCTAAGCTAATGTTTCAAGCATCCTCTCTCAAATAATTCTTTGTCCTGATGCTGTTCTTAAAGGAAAGCAGGTTTCCTTGCCTGTTTCCATCCACCACTCAGCCTGGCTTCATCCCATCCGAGCCCTGCCGGGTCCGCATATAGCTGCATGCCTTGGCACGTGCTTTTGCCTCTTCCTGGAATGCCTTTTCTTTCCATATCCACTGAGGTAACGCCCACTCATCTTTCAAAATTTAGCTCAAGCAACACCTTTTTTTTAAAAAAAATCCTCCACGTATGCCCCCTACACAGGCACACCCTGCGTTCTCACAGGCTAAGTAAGGCTGCGTTTGTTCACGCTGCCAACAGTCATTAAGCGCCTGATCTGTGCCTGATGCGTAGTAGGCTGCATTCAACAAATATTTGTCGAGTCAAAAGACAAGGAAAGGATGACAAGGTGTAATAACTGCATTAGATGGGGTTGAATC